GACTAGGACATGAGTTGCGGATTAGAGTGGCACCGATGCGTCCAGCAAACAAGGGCACGAGAAGCTGGAGATTCAGTTCCAAAATTCTCATCCCGAGGTTCAGTATATGGCAATGAACAGCAAGCCAGTAAACTCACCTGTGGAGTCAAGGGAGCTGGTTTGCGGAGGATGACTTTAACTAGACTCACATTCCCGCCTCCGCTTACTAAGAATTATCAGTCAACAGTGGCTGCTATCAAAAGCATTCGTATCACACAATTCCCCGATAAAATTAGACTCTTTTGGAAGTGCTTGGATCGATAGGAACGTACTAGTAAATTTGTCCCACAGCTACGGATTTGGAAAACAGGATCAAACAACTCGGCACTTATCGTCACAGGGTGTTCATTGGTATCAAGTACATCATGCAAGTATATCTTGCACTGTGTCCGATGTAGAGCATCAAATGGGTTGAGGTCAAATAGAACCTCTATTGACTGGCCCCGAACGATTTGTCACTTTACCAGAACTTTCAACTCATATGAAAACTCAGCATTAGAATCGTCAGTTCGAATCAGGATCATGGGTAGTGGGCTTATATTCGAATACACACACGCGTTCCTTTCTCCTTCTCTGTAACCAGTGGACAATCCGAGTAGCTTGCTCTGAGATGTCATACCGGCTTCAGCACCTGTTTTCAAAAACACTGTCAACTGAGGGTTAAGTAGTCGAGGGAGGTTGACAATATTGGGAATTTTACCGGCAACACATAGAGAGTGACCCAAAGATACTACCACTGTAATGATGACCTTACCCATGTGGAACTCAGTTGAGAACCTCACTTACGACACCAGCAGAAATAAAAGGTCAGTCCACTAGACGGAGGTATGGAGAGTAAGCTGTAAAGTTCAGGCATGTAAACGTTACCGAGATAGTGCAGCTAATATGGAAAGCGCCTGCTCGGTAATATGTCCGCGGACGAAACCCATCCCCAAGTGTATCTTTTCGTTCGTATTGTGTGTACTTAAATTTCTCACTTCAGGAGCTAGTTACCCTCCTCCTCCTTTTCAGAGGGTCAGTCTATATCGTTTCCATTAATGATGAATCAAATTAGTAATCACACTATCGATTAAGTTCAACAATATACATGGGAATATCCCCATACTTCTGGTAGGTAATAAGTTCATCCTCGCCAAAAAATGATATGCTAGTAGTAATTTAATGTGCTGATTATGAAAGGGCGTCAAAAATATTGTCTGGTACATTGACTTCACACGTTTCACTACTTTATCCACGTTAATCACCGTGCGCTTTATCGTCTACTCCTTGCGTACGACGATCTGGGCGACAGGTTCTTAAGCAGAAGGATAGCTCCAAATGATAGCATGGTTAGTACCTATCTAGAATCCATTGTTTGATTTGCATGGTTTTGGTGATTGAAGCATCATAATCGCAAATACAAGTCAACTGAATGAACATGAATCAACTTCGTTGATCATTGTGTACCTCATTTCTCTGTGAACGACAGTGGAAATCTTGGGGAAGCAGTTGGGAAACGAGAATAATACATTCCAGATTCACTTGTACCGTGTCTAGGCCTAATCTCCTCAATGAACAAGTTCATTATACGTTTTAATTTTGCCCGGGTGCAACTCACACACCACAAAGTGGCCATTCATTGAAAGTCGATTGAATACAAAAACGTTCACCACCTATGTGTGTACGTATTTTCACCACGAGCTACTGAAAATAAGCAGTAGTCTAAAATGACTAGTTTCTCCACGCTAGCACGTCCATGTAAAACAAACCGCTATTTTGTGGGAACAGTTCGTTAGAGTTTGTATTAAACTCTCAAAACTTATGCATATTTGTCGTCATATGCGAGTGTATATCACGCTCTGTAAAACCTCCCTTGCAAAGATGTTGACTCTCTTAATTTTGCTCAGCTTTCGGTCGTGGGGGGGGGGCAAACTCCGAAGGATCTCAGAAACCTCAGCGTTTGGATCTCTTTGAGCACAAGTCCCATCTACCTGGAATATGCCGACGGTCTTTTTTCAGTTTTGAAGAATTCAGTAAGGGCGAGTATAGCTACAAACGCTAAGATTGTGTGGAATATGCTTCGCATATCTGGAACGTGAGAGGTCATGTTGCGGGACATACAGTCTTTGAACATACCTATAAGACCTCGACAGTTGGCAGTGAAAGTTGTGGAACACTATGCATATCTCTGAATTCGTATTATTTCCCACATTGATGCAACAAATGGAGTCAACATACAAGTTTCAGATGCAAAAATCACATTAATTTGCGCTACCTGATGCGTCAGCGAAACATATCTCTGGGCCTCACAAGACACGTGTATTGCACTACAGTACGGACCGTATTGTCATATGGGTATGAAACTTGAGAATTTCAGAGAGAGGAATCTTCAAGTCTTTAATTGTTGATGTCTCAGAACTTTAGCTGAAACAGGCAGGAATCAGTGAACTTGAAATGAGATGATCACGGAACGGGTCTTCGGTGACTGTATCCCACTCAAAGAATGCATGCAATCCTGCAAGTTGGGTCACATGCTACGCAAGCCGGGTCACCGTAAAGAACCTTGTTTGCCACGCCCAGTTTGGAGTGGCAGAAACCCAAAGCATTTAAACTGAAATTGAACGATGCAATGAAAAAGCTGGTGCTGTTCACCTTTCAGAATGGAGATAGACAGTAGATGATATGGCGGGCAATGGATGTCAGTGCGCTTCGTGCTGTCAATTTCTATCCAGAATGTATGCCTGGATATTGTCAGAACCTCGGATGTTTGTGTTCAGCTAGTCCTAGATATCCATAGCTGCTCCATTTTTTTTCTTTCCACTATAAGCTTTCATTCAAACAAACTGATATGGCTGTACGGCTGTGAAGCACTAGCGTTTATCTCTGTCATTGATGAGGATAATGGTTGTCGTAACAACCATCTCCAGGTAGAATTGTTTTGCCATGTGCGCACAGCCTGTCAGTGAACTGATTCGTTTGGGCTTCCGGCTGACGAAGCAAGTGAAATGCCCACATCCAACTACCTACCTTCTCTGACGGACAATCCTCTAGTGACCATGGTTCTACCTGCCTATGAACATGTGGCAACTAATTAAAACGAAATTAGCAGTGACTTGGCTGTCTTTCGAAACTTAGCTCATTCTCAAACTCTGTGTTTCGCATTCTCGTCTCCCGACGTGAGATATCAGTTTCGTACAGTTTGCCTTGGTGGAGCACTAGTAGAATTCTTCTCCTCAGCATCGAACGGTCGGAGTCTCAAACCAATGGCGCGCATAGTTGTGCTCGCGAGAAAGTGTAACTGCGGTCCGCTATTCTGTTCTCTGACGCTGACTAACTAGAAGTGTCCCTTAAGGACGTAAAGTGGTTCGGATACAAATAAACGTTCACTGAATGTCTGAAAGTGGACATAGACTGTTCAGGACTGACGGTATTTTATCAAACTGACGTTAGTTTAGACATTATGGTATGGCTAAACAGATGTTTTGTGACGAATAATGGGGTGGCGTGTCCTCCTCTCTCTCGAACGGCTATTCCTAGGTTGACTAAGGAAAGCTTACGGACTATAGAAGGTGATTGTTTCAAAGCCAAAACAAGCTTTTTTCAGATGATGGATCCCTGAGTAGAAGTTGTGATCCATCTTCCCTAAATTGACTTCAAGGTCTCATGAATACTATTAGCACAGATAAAGTGGATTAAACTCTGAGATGTTAGTGTACATGTTGAAATATTTAATAATGCTTCGCGATTGTTTAAAGTGAGTTCCAGGAAAAAGACGACACTCAGAATGTAGTATACATTATAAAGCAAGACGAGTGATTACTGAACACCATCGTGTGAACTATTTTGTTCCGCTTGGTTGATCGCAGATTCTGAAGCCGAAGATTGTTGAACAACCATTATCTTGCCGAGCTACATTCATCTGAGTCTCTCGTTTATGCTATTCTTCAGCTAAGTATTTTGCGCAAAGGCAGTCTTGTTTTCTAGTTGATGAAGTATTCTAGATACTGTAGTATAGTTTCTTGAAAGAACACTACTCAGGGGACACTACTCAGCGGCTCGTGACCGGTTTCGTTCTTTTCGATGCCCATAATTTAGGTGTTATGAGGGTTCTCAACCGAGTTTACTGCACAAAGGATACGCGTATTTTATGAGCTCTATGAACATCAAAACCTTTAACAAGCTGTCAAGGAATTCCCGGAAAGCTGTTAGGCATTTTAGGTCATATGTTATGAGCTCTATGAACATCAAAACCCTTAACAAGCTGCCAAGGAATTTCCGGAAAGCTGTTAGGCATTTTAGGTCGGCAAAAAAGCGTTATCATTACTTGTTAGGGTGCGCTGAAGGCTGATGAACTTCTGCCTAATCACCGGGAATTCCTGGGTGATTCGAGAGCCAACCACAACGTTTAGTAGGCTGAAGTTAGGTTTTCTCCCTCAATTTTTCATCACAATATTCATTGTGGTGAGATGGTGAAACGACGACATCGCGCTTAAGCTTTACTGTAGACGATCAAGAAGATCACTTTAGGAATGTGTTTGGAATGATTTAAACAGAAACTTGATTGGGTGGAGCACAGGAATTCATTTCCTTATAACCGAGTTCAAATACTAAAGTGACGATAGATGACCCAGATTAAATCCTATAATATGTCGTAAAACTTCGATCTTTCCACGAAAATTTGAGAATCAATATCATGTTCTGTGCGGCTTGCGGATTTTAATGTAAAGAATCAAGCTCTCAGCCATCTGGGCTACTTATGTCTGTCTGGCTAGTAAAGAATCCAGTACTCTTGTTACTGTTTTCAATAACAATGAAGTGACCCTTTTTGCTTTGTTTGAACCGGAATAAACGCAAAGATTTGGCAGATGAAAAATATCAAATATTTCATAATTTCACAATTACAGTACCACACCCAGATTAGCATCGCCCTTGAAATTACAAAAACGGTTAATATACACAATTGATAATTTATTTGTAAGTGGTGACCATTTGGTCAGCAAGGTTTCACCGAATAGATATGACAAAGAACCAAGTATTACGGAGGACTACAACCTTTCGAAAAGTGTTGAACATAGTGAAGCGCGGCGAGATTGCTTCGGCTATGTCCGAAGGTCTGTGTCCTTCAAGCTTCCCGCATATTTAGAGTCCCGTGTTGATTGAATAGATTGACATTTATATTAAACTGGTTGTTCTTATTCCACCACAAATGGCCGCGTTCCGCTTCACTCTTCCCGTGGAGATTTTCGATGCCCTTGCTGCCAATTTCAGACTTCGCATCGATGCTTCAAAACACGACTCGTGTGTATTCAGCGTCACAATAAGCATACACCGTGCATCACCACAAAGTGCCGGCTTCAAAAGATGTGTCAGTTTCGAATCACGATACGGTATGTGGTGCTTTCCTGAACCATCTCCACCGACCATTGCATCGAATACTCTGCCAAGTGTAATTAGGGATTTACCCAGTTGCCTGAAAGGGATATAAGAATGCAAAGTTTTTCCACAATTTTTGTGAAAGATGCACCAGAGAACAGGCTTCTTACTAGCTTTGATTCAGTCAGTCAGTACGCAATTTTTAGTTCGTCAGCTACTATGAGAATCGACACAGAATGTCCAAGAAACAAACCAGCATTATTGCTGGCATCGTGCTACCAAGTCTGTCTGTGACGTTGATTTCCGTTCCCCGTCTGAGCAGGTGTTCATTTACAGGATACGACAATCTGAAAATAAGTACAATGAGATCAGCCTTAAATTTACTCGCTAGTTCAGCAATATATCTCTAAATCATGGTAGCCTCACAAAGATCATTATTTTTGACGTTCATTTTCTGATTCCCACGGGCAAAGTATTTTAACATTAAAAACGGCGTGTGCTAAAATCGGGCAGATTAGACAAGAACCCCTGGATGGAAAGGGGATCGGAACGTCTATCACAGTCTCTGACGGGAGAAAACAGCTTCAATATCACCTCGTCAGTGCAGAGCACATCAGGACCTTACAACCAGCTGAGCTGGAAGACACTTATCCACTCCCACCGCCTACTACAATCACCCTTTCGGCAATCAACTCCTTGGAGATATGTGAGATTTGCACTGCTGATGAATCCCAGTTCAAACGAAACAGCTGTACAGTATCCTCCGGCTTTTGGACACAGCTCGTTCTCTCTTTCAGGACGAAGCCTCGAATGTTTACTCAAGACTTGCTCCCGCAGATTACGTCTTGAACCAAACACAAAGCCGTATAGTACATGCCGGGAGGGACAAAATCGCCCCTTCTGTTTGCGCCAACACACAGGCTAGACAGCGAGTAGCTCCCCATGGTTTGCCAATGCTCGTGGGTCACGTATAAACTCCCTTAGCAACCCAATATGTTGGTGCATCCCACTTGGCCACAAATGCGTTTATCTCTTGAAGACTGGCTGAGTTTGCCTGATTTTCTCAAGCTGTTATGTGGAGTACGGCACATTTACATCTGTCAGCCAGAATCGTATTTACTAGTAATATCCAGTTTCTTTCCATAACTTTTTCCTCTTAAGTTTGTCAGAAAGATTTCTGCCGCACCGCTCAAAACTCAAGATAGTCTAGCAACTAAGGCGCGAAGCTGCTGACCAATGTCCATCGTTTGAACCCAATCCTGGCTTTTTGACTGTTCCCGTCTACACTTAGAACAGTTGACTGTAGCTCACCCCTGGTGCCTTCTTTGAGTTGCACGGCAGGTATGCAATGAAGGGTTACCAAGCTTCATATGGATGTCTGAATTAGAAACTGAGTGTCAATAAAAGTGAGAAATCATTTACTTTGTCTCGTTCACTTCTGAATCAGCAAAGGCGGCGCAGTTGTTGTGTGTTGTTTTTGACCTACGTTCTTGTTCTTTGTTTGCGATAGTCATCAGTGGCTGTCGAGACTGTCTGTTTGTAGAGAGTGGGTTCGATCTATTCTGTCCCGTGTCCAACCCATCGAAACCTGCCAAGTCCGCGAGCACCAACAGTCCGTGAGTAGCCATGCGTGTGGTCAAACCAGTGCTTCCTGGTTCTTCGTTATTGCCAAGCCGCAACCTTGAATCGAGCTCTTCCGGAAGATAAAGCTCGTGAGAAACTGGTGAGGCTGGAGAAATAGGACGAGGCTCTTTTATCTCTGTCCTAGTCTTATTCTCTTTTCCAATTAGGGCTCCGCTGCATAGTCCTCGCACACGAAGTATCAGCACGAAATGTAGGTAGGTCGTTGGTGTGTTTAGTGCGGCCGCAGTTGCCTGTCGCCGTGAACGTGCCTTCCTGCAAGCAAGCAAGAAATTTAACATTTTTTATCCAGCAGCACAGAACGGTAAAGTCTGAAATCATCTCGCCATTTTAATTTCTGAATTATTGTATGGAGAATACGGATAGGAGCCTTGTAAATTAGCCATTAGGGCAAACATAGAGATAATCAGGTGGTTATTTTTTGGCGCAAATCGATTTGAGCATAAAGTGTCCCTACGCAACAAGGAATTCGGTGACGTTCTGTCAAAGCAGTGCCGAAAATTTTCTCACATGGTTCATAACACCAACAGTTGTAAACTTCCACTGACAGGCCCTCCAGCAGCTGAACCGGTCAAATTCGATTGTTCCTTTAAAAAAGGGATGTTATTTGCAACAAAGTACATCGCACAAAATTTCAAAGGGAACTGCTAGGTGAGTAGTTTAAGTTACAACGAGAAAATATGAGGTTTGTAACAAACAGCGAATTCATAGAGAATCGACTGACGAACGACAAAGTCTAAAAAAATTATTATTGTATCACTTAGTTTAGTTACCCGCCCATTTTATTTCTCACTGACAGTCCAAGAAGCATATTAATTCCGTTCCCCGGACGTAAACACTTGTGTGTGAACTGACGAAGGTGCCGACCACTCATAAGACTCATCACAATCACAGGCCACCCCAGGCCAATGAGACGTGTATCAACGCATCGACGCATCTCCAGACGCACTGGTGACGTCAACGTGATTGGTGATGAAACATTTAAAAACAAATTAACAGGCTGATTGAACGGAACCACTGCTATTCATCCATCTATATAACATTTACCGTAATATCTAAATTGATTCAAAATCCGAGCCCAATGTATACCCTGAGGGTCCAGCTCAAGGAGAAAATGATCGTTTGTTGCAATACTTATTCTTTACTGTAATACTACTTGTTTGCAATAATAGTAACTTATTGCTGATTCATTTGATTTATTGCAGTACTACTTGCAAGCAACCATGTAATTATGGAATATATTGCCACTGACTAAATGTCCAGGCGGCGGATCGCCTCATAAAGTTCTGTGTTCTAATCACGCCTGTCGGCAAGTAAGTATCGGTTTATATCGTAGTTGAGGTAGGATTCAGGCGTTGTGAACGGTATCCCCGCCTGAGGGTAAGAAATAATGATGTCTTTTTACACCCGTATTCTTCTCCTTCCAAAAACGTAAGCAATAAACCTCTTACGAGGCTTTCATCTCGCCAACTTTTGTGATTATTCGTTGTCATATGATTCGGAAAAAAGTTGAACATTGTCTCCGATGTCCTATGCTTAGAGTTGCCTCCGTTTTATTGTGCTGTGTGACTTTATGCAGCAGCTGAAGACCAAACATTGTGTCCATATTTTTTCACGTTTGTGGCATTGTCTTACGGTTTGCTCACTGAAATGTCCTCGTCGTGAGAGTAAAATTTTATTGCTTCATGGTGAACACGAAAATCCGATAAATCAGTATGAATCTCATTATGTTTACCTTAGTTCCTCCATGAGTTCCATTTCGGTGGAGACCTCAACTTCCCGTACTCCTTTCAACAGTATTTGTTTCCCGTTGTCATGAAGGCTGACTCGCGTCAATGCGACTGAGTTGTTAGCTGAAGGCTGCTCACCCAACAAGTCGGTAACATTATCTTGTGAACCTTGATTGTAGACAGAAAATGTAGGGANAGTATACTAAAAAGTAGGCAAAAGCTAGATACCGTCTTCCTGAACCCCTCCCCAAAGTACGGCTTCATATGCGACCCATAGCTACGCACCACTACGCTCTCCAATAACGTATTGATGATATCACCTCGATTGGTGATGAAACATTTGCAATCAAATTGCTCAGCTCGGCGAACGAGCCAACGAACATACGGGGGAAATGTGCTTAGTGAGCTATTTCATTTCGAATAGAATGTACAGAAATTTCTATGTACTCGTTTGTGAGTACATTTGGAGTGCACACAGATGGTAGTTGTCCTAAGTATTTTAAGTTATATATTTGAATTCACTGAAATGAATGGCCATATTAATCAGGGTGACGATTATTTAAGACAAATTCGTGACCACAGGGTCACGATTAGTGGCCAAACGAACAGGAATCGGAGGGCCTGGAAACGTTTAAATAAATCTGAGTGACCCTAGTGGATCCAAAATCTAGTCGAGGAAGTCCTCGTTAGACAATCTTAACGGGGACTAAAATAGAGGATAATAAGCTGAGATTCCATAAGATTAACTTATAGGAATTCCAGGAAGTAGAAACCATCTTCGTATATGGGGATGCATGTATTTGACAGTACTGTATAAGAGTATTATGCGCGTTCGTCCGAATTTACATCACTCAGCTTAGATCTCTTGAGAACAAACTACTTTACACGCGGTCACTCTAACTGGACTGCAGTACTGTACTCAGGTATTCCGAACGAAACCGCTAAGGGAAACGCAGGAATTGGCGTTATTGTGCGGTGCTTCTAGCTCCATTTGCCTTCAGTTTCACCCCTCCTGAAAGATCATTCGAGTAGAAGACGTAACGTGTGGATACCCTCGAATATTTTAGGGATGGAATTTATGAGGTCACTTAAATTGCCGTACTCGTACTGAGTTCCGCGCGATAGGAGATGGAGAAAAATGGACTTTTTGCGAATAATAACGCTAGTCCGTTTAATAGTTGTGAGAGAAGACGTTTTTGTGCTGAATTTGGTTTGCTTAACATTTTGCAAATTATTTTCATGAGGACGTTCTGGATGTCTTGGGGAGCCACTCTGATGCTGCTGAAAAGTGCTCCGTGGCTCTTGGTCAAGGTATGTATTACAGCTGCCGAGTGTTTTTCTAAGTTGTGTAACTCGGTAAGGAATAAAACATCGAATTCTTCCACGTTAAAACTTATTCCCTTATGTATGATGTCCTAATCAGTTTGCTCCTGGTAACGGTTGACGAAGGTTGAAGCAACGGACTTCCTCTCAAAAACGCTGCGTACTTTACAAAATACTGCATCAGTCAATAGCCAGTCTTCGTTTCGAACAGAAGCTCTAGCTCAGCAAGAAAAACACCTGTCTTCTTGTCGAACTTTTCAGAGCAAAACAGAAAACCGGCTTTTTGATACATCACTAAGCCAGTTTCTCTAGTTTTCATCGAGCATTCTAGGAAAATTCGTAACGTCCTTGATGCGGAGTCAAAACCCATTTTCTGTAAACTTTTTTGCTAATCGCAAGGAACTATGTCAAAGTTCTCATGAATACACTTGCGAGAAATGGATAACGTTGGGGAGGAACCACCCTCTCAAACATACGAGCATTTATGTGCGCATATACATGTGACAAAGAGAGTAGGCAATCTGCAGTGATAACAGTGAGGAAGTTTTATACCGATTTTACCTGCAGCATAGCAACACTGATGCGATACGTCCACAACGGAGCCCTACTGTGGCACTCTGTGATCAACAGTCGTGCTACGCGGGGAATTATTCCTGGTTTCGATGGTGCGCCCAACATCGTGTAAGTTTTTCCAGATCCACTTTGGCCATAGGTAAGGATGGATGCACTGTACCTATGGAAAAAGTAGCGGAAGACAAGTGGAATCAGTCACCATCATTGGGTCGTTTGCATTTAATTGTTAATGCACATTCAACGGAAGTCACTGAATTAAACGGGCTAAGATGAACTTGACTAGATTTGCCCAGAAACGCCATATCATTAAGAAGCCCACTAGAACAGTACCAAGGTGACTCATGAATGAAGAGAAGTAAAAGACACTTGAATGAAGATTTCGTTCTCTAGATGAGGTCAATGAATGCTGAAAAGCCGATAAACACCGTACGGTTGTTTCACCCCTGTTTGGAATCATCAGCAATGCTCATCTGGGAAACGCCATGGAGTCTGGAACCCGTACCCTCTCGGCTAGTATTTTGAACACCGTTCGGCCACCAGCTACTGAGTGTTCAACGTTCAAAATAATAGCCGGGAGGTCACGCAATTCAGACTCCCTGGAATCTTGTAGGATGCACGCTAGTGATGATCCCCAATAAGGATGAAGCAGCTGTACAGTGCTTCAGGAATGAAGCATTAATTGGCTTTAATTTGAGCAATAAAATTCTCCCATCTCCTCACAATACCGTCAATTACAAGTTACATTATTTTAGGTGCCTCATGGTCAAAACTCAAAGGTTAACGCACTAAGGCTCCAGGAGTTCCCAAGGGAGACGTTTGTGGGCTAGATAGCAATTCACCCTTCGACCTGTTTGCCTCCAAAAAATCCAACGAAAGCGCGTTACTAATACTTAAGTTCAGAAATCGTTATGGCTTCCCCTTTTTCAATTCACCCTTCGACCTGTTTGCCTCCAAAAAATCCAACGAAAGCGCGTTACTAATACTTAAGTTCAGAAATCGTTATGGCTTGCACCTATTTTCGGCCCAAAAAGGTACTGTGTACAAGTAATCAGGAGTTTGTCTTTTGTCAACTTTTATCAAACAAAGCACGAAATTATGATGAACGTCGAACTCAAGGTCGTAAAATGACTGTTTCAAAACGTGTTGAGAGGGAGAAATATACTTATAAAAATAGGTTTGTTGGATAGTCCGATCCAATCAAACCACTATCTAATGCAGATGGTCGTAAAAAACACCAACAATACCAGACAGAAATCGTCTGGGCAAACCTTATGCACTACGATTATTTTAGATGAAATTGATTTAGTGAAAACCGACAAGCCGGAAATGTTAGAAGAGTAGTGCTTATCACACGGTAGAACAAATAACAGGAGCCCTCCTTCTCGGCTGGACGGCTTCGAACACAAACAGGCTTGAGACAGTCGTTTCCAATTACACTTAGCATTTCCAGTAAATTAATGATGCTGAACACTCGTCATGGTGCAAGTAGTCTAGTAAAATTCGGCGAGCAAATCACACGAAGCTCTGACGACTATCCAGCGTTGGAAGAAATAACGACCGACTGAATGCTGACTTAACTCACGAGCAAGCGTCCATGAGTTCAGCCTAAACACGTAATATATGTTCACATGATTATATGTAGTCAGTAGTGTTTGTGAATAAGCAGCACCCAAGTTGCATACCTCAACCGGCATTGTGTGAGAGGGTGTGGGCCCCCAGGGGAGTTTCAACCGATCTTGCAAGCAAATAATAACGTGCGTGTATGAACTTCTGCTAATAATGCGATGAAACATTGAAACATTTTCAATAACACCTGTCCATAATAACATGGTAATATTATGATATCATAATGAAACCCATCATCATCGTTCCAGGATTGTTGTCATCATGGCAAACCTATGCCAGTAGGTCACCACTTCATAAACATCAAATGAACTGGTACGTGACACTCTCTGCTGGGTTAAAATCCTGTGCACGATCCCACGGCAAATATTTGAACTTTCTCGAATACCATAGGTAGGTAAATGTTTGTTATGACAGAAGAGATAGATTCATCATGTAGGTATGGTATTGATACAGTGAAGGATTGTTAGGTCAGAATGCAAACAAACTGCACACGAGCCTAAAGCAAAACTGTCTGCAACGCCATCACAACCAGTTTGTATTACTAAGGGAGTGTTTGAAATAGTATAAACTCACTAGTAATTCTCCAAAGCGTAAGTAAAAATAGACTTATCATATCGTCATGCTTCGTAGATATGTACCCAAAAATGAAACATTTTATCCTCTAAAATTTTTCCTCAGGAGGTGAACAACGCAAAGGTTTTTATCCTAGAAAAACGGGTGTGTTTGCATATAGAGGAATTACTACAGACTCTTCTCCCACGATACGGCGTATCCCTGCCGAGAAGAGCTCTTTCAGGAGTGACCACTGTTCCCTTAAAGTGTGATTCGCACTGTCAGCTGACACAAGCGTTCCGAAGCAAGTACTTCTGTTCGGTCATCTGCAGCCGTCTCTTAAAAGGCTTACAATCCTGCTCGAGAACAACCTTATCATCAGAGACATACCGAAAGTGGCCTGATTTGGGGGGGTGGCCATTCCAAAGAATAGCATTTATGGTTATTGCGAGTAACGCAAATGAAAATCATACCACGTGCCTCCCAATCAGTTTCAGTAGCCATTTCGTCCTCATACAGTCAGTCAGATACTGAAATGGCACTGAGTTACCCTAAATGGTACACTAATTTCGCTCGACGATCCTTGTCGAGCGGACATTCAGAGTGGTCGTTTTAATAGTTAGAGGATGGTAGTGTATCAGTGTATCAGTGTATCTCCTTTCTCCCGGTCAAACCGCTCCCTTACTCGAACCCATTGTTTTCCGCGTCTATCTCATGTATTCGATATTCACCCACAGTCCCTCATGGACTTTTGACCCTTAACATGTAAAATCGATTATGACGAGCTTTTCACGCGCGATTTTTGATCACTTCCGTAACCACGTGCTGCGTGCGCACGTTTGTCGGTAATTTACGTCGAGTTACCGTTCTTATAGGGCTTTCTTTGGACTTTTACCGATTTGTGCAACAACTGAGATTTGTTTCCTTTCGTATTTTCTACGTACAGTACCGCATTTCGTTGATAAATCTCAATAGTTCGTAGTTCTTGTCTTGTTATTTCACACGTTACTCATTTCGGCTTCTCAGAATAGGTCACGTATTCTACGACAAATGATCAGACAAATCTCACGGGAGCGGAATTGAGCAACATTGATCGGGGAGTGGTTTCACACGGGAAGCCAACAAGACAGATTATTGTATATCTACATAAATGCATACATCCAGATCAGAGATGCCGTGAAATAAACTAGGAAAAACAAACAATCTCATTCAGACAGTTCGTTTGAATTTAGAGCAGATGCAGAGCAGAATGACAATAGCATGCAATTTATCAGCGCTTTTTCGTCATAGGTTCATCCGAAGCACATGTTATGATTGCCTTACCAAAGTAAAGGCGGCCAATTGTAACGAAACGGAATCTGGAAACTAAACTCGCATAGAAATGCGCCGGACTTATGTCTGCCTCAGTTCAAAACTGCCCCGCCGGGCAAATGACAGGGCTTCTTTTGGAGCACCAATCAATATTTTTTGGCAAAAAATCCACATTGCTTTCACACAAGACGCGTTTTGTTTGAGGAATTCTTAGTGTAATCCTATTATCCAGCTGAGTAAGATATTACTTCTATAAGTGTACTATTGTCTGGTACGGTAAGATGTTCATAGGGTGCGAAGATCTGGTAATGTTCAACTCAGATTTCGCTCTCAGCCAGTCTATGCTTAAAGGTTGGGAAGCCCTGTACACTTGTTTCACCCCTATTGGGAATCATCATCAGTGAGCGTTTCATTTGATACCCGGACTGCAACCGCTCGGCCTCGATATGTTGATCAGCAATGTGGTTAGTTCGCACTTAGATAAAACAGCGCTAATCATTCTTTAATAACAGAATCAGTGTGATCACGTGTCGACTGGCTTATCTGGTAACGACTTCTCACCTACGAGCACTCTTGGCTGCTGGTCAGAAGGCAATTGAACCACAACCAATAAACTCGCTCAGCTATTAGTACTTGAACATGCTATTAGCAATGTCACTGCTCTACAGCTGTATAATGTAAAGGAACAAAATATTGTTCAGATTGTTCAGTCATATAAGTTACTATGTAGTCTCCATAATCTCTACAGACGTGAGCATTGAAAATGCTGACGATAAATAATAATAGTAATACTGATGGTGATGCTAAGTTTCACCCAACAAAACACCCATCATTATTCTGGATATTTCGAAAGATCTAGTTTGAACGTCTTCACCCTACCCGTCTATACAGGAGAGGACGAGTTCACGGACTTCATCAAACACGGCTCGCTGAGTCGCACCTGGTGGGAAGACACGATAGACGTGGAATGCCTGCGCGCCCTTCCGACTATTGTACAGGTGGCATCCGCCAGCGGCATTGAGGAACGGTTTCACCACCAACGTGTCCTCGTTGAGCATCCGGTAAATACTGCTTCTTCCTTCCGATTCAGAATAGCATCTAACTTCGCGAAAGAAGTGGAAATAAAATAACGAGAACATCAAACTTCTACACTTAGTTTGAAAAACATTTTTACGTGCAGATCTCAGATCAATAATGGCGAAAGCACACGAATCCGCCATTGTCTTCCTTCGAACGAACGCTCTTAGAAAAAAAGACGAGTGTCACTTGAGATTCTTGTCAAGTCCATACAGCTGATTGGGTCATCTCTCGAACCGGCATTGCTACTGATCAAGCGTATGCTTGATCGTTTGCAAGCATAAAGAGAGACAGAATTATGTGATGATTAGCTTGAGTTTACAATTCTTTTGCTTCCCTTTAAGGCTAATTCTTTCAGTAATAAAAATCCTTTCATTTGGGAAAGTTCCTTAAGTACTTGAGCTATTTCCATATGCAGAAATTTCGTCAACATCTTGCTTGAAAAACTATTCAAATTGTACTAATTAGCCTGCAAATAAATTGTCCACAGATATGCCAGCGTTCACCTAGATCCGGAAAGTGATCGAAGGGCACTTTATTACGGCATTCGAGTAAGAACCACTAAGCAAGGAAGTGCAGATTGGTTTAGCGCTGAATCTGGGTCCATCAGCAGTGTAAAGGTTTTCTTCGTAGTCCTTCGTAGTTGTCATTTTTAGCAGGCACAACAGATCAGCCAGGCAGCCAACCAGCAAAGAAGCAAACCAACTGGCCATCAAGCAAGCGAGCCACTCAGCCAGCTAGTCAATTAGTTAGTCAGGCAGTCAGTGACATAACGACAAATCTTGTGCGAAACTGTGGCAGTTGAAGCTGCCAAAGTTTCTACTCTGTCGCATCAGTTGGGACAGTTTGAGGGCATAAAGTGCAGCCTATTTGAAGCATAGGACTACCTTTGTACGCAGCAAAATTCTGAAGGATGTCTAGGACAATAGGTGCGGTCATGTTTAGTCTGAATTGCCCCATTACCACCATCTCAGTGTTCCGAAAACTGCTCCATTGCAAGTACCTCTCACTAGGAGTTCAAGTAAAGAGTACGGTTGAGGAAAAGATGGGACTACCTACTTGAGGTTTGCCTTTTCAGTGTCCTTGACACGAGTCAAAATCGGTCAGCTGACCAACTCTTTTATCTCTGATACTACTATCCTCTGTGAAGTAGTGTGGTCAGCACTGAACTCCAAGGTAACGAAAACACCACATCTACTCGCACTCGCAAAAAGAAAGGTAATGTCTAAACACAATTCCAATCGAATACCTAATCATCACCCGTATATTCCCTTTTAGTTCTAGTAACTCATTCAGGATAGCCCTTGCTTGCAGTTCCCTGGCAGCCTCCATAAACTTGCGACATGTTTGTGCTCTCAGTTGAACGTCCTTCCTCTCCAGTTCAGCCTGTAACTGGGACAGTCGAGCCTCGGCGGTCGCTGCTGACTGAGCCGTCTCCTTTGCCTCTAACTCCACTCGCACAAGTCGGCGGTTCAGTTGATTCGCGCGCTCCTCGGATTCGGCGAGTTGTGTGCGTAACTGTTCCATTTGCCCCTCCAAGTTAGTGTTCGATTCATGAAGCTGCAAAGATATGAAAGATAGTTTTGGGTGGTTTCACAAATTGGCCTAAAAATTTTGCCGAAAGCTATTGTTGGTGAACTTCCGTCACCACTGAATAAGCCGTAGTTATTCATTATGCACACACATACTGCAGCCACTTTCCCACTCTTGTGATTTAGTGCTTTAGCGTTCTTTAGGTAGGAGCTTTGTTAAAATTTGTTTATTTAGAAAAAGCAAATAAAACTGACCGTTTAGATTCGCCGCAAATCTATGAAACAACGTGCAATTGAATAGAGCATACTGCTGACGAGGCGATTGTGGCCGAACGTTTTCGTTGTCATCTGCCGGCTGGTAGATCAGCAGTTTGGATCTCCCTGGAGGTCCCTGATAAATACGCACTGCAGATGACTCTAAATAAAAAACAGAGTTATCCGGCATAGGTTGGTTTCACTTGTGAGATGAAACTGCAACTTTCAAATCTTCTAATAACAGCAAAGCGTCACCCCTCATTATTATTTGCTGAATGGGAAGGAGTAGAACTTGTTGCAATATGAAATCAGGACTGCCAATAGATAGTGCAAAACACGGAAGTTTTACCCTATCGTAAGAAGACATTTCAGTGGTCTGGTATGAGATATTCAAGGTTGAGGCTATTTCCATCTGTATTTGAGCACAAGTGACGCGGATAGCTGAGGTAGAAAAACTCACGGGTACCACAAGTAACGACGAAACCACGAGCTGCTCAAACAGATCATGTCATCTCGACGTTTTTGATTTCGATGTTCGGGTATCATCCAACAAGTAATTAGTTGTGGTTGTTTTGCCGTCGAATTGTTTGCCACGGTCTGATAAAGAGTAATGTATATCGCTTCTTCCATCAGCTAGATTCAATGAGGCTATCCACTCGGGTGAGTACTGATGTAGAGCTTACTTGCTTACTTACTTACGAGGCTGGAGTGAGCATCGCTTGGTCAAGCTCTGTAATTAATAATGACAGCGTGCCAGGGACAAAAGAGTACCTTTTTATGTCAGTGGAAACATTTCGAATAAATCAAATCGTATAGCACAATAAATTAAAGGAAATGAACAAGTGTTTGATTCATGTGAAAGCATCTAACTTGCAGGGTTTATTGAGGGTCTGAGTGAGAGTAAACATCCCAAAAGTACACTGTATCGAGAAAAATTAGAAACCAAGCAAACGTATAGCAATCCAATAATCTATCATAAAGAAGCCTGAAGAAAACTAAGCACTCAAAGTGTTCGCCTTCTGAACCAACAACCAGTCCTACTGATAAAGAATGTAGTACTCAGAGAGTTCATATAGCGTGGATTGCCATAACGCTTGCCGGCCATCGAAATAGATATTGTTTGGATCTAATTTTATTGATACTATTTAGCACGTCCAGAGTTTTATGATAGGTAGCTTCCTGAATGGAAACATTAAACGTTCCATCGTGTTGATACTACTCATCTGGATCAAAATGACTGCACTTGTCAGTTATCGACATGCCCTGACTCCTGTTCACTGTCCAATACCGTATTTTCCAAATGATTCTTTCACAGAAACGAGTGTTTCCTACCTTTATGGTGGATTTTAGCGTGGCAAACGCTTACTTCAGAGAATTCGCTGAGAATCTGTCTTCAAACAATGTCATCCCGAAAGTTCTCCGGAAGCACACCCCACAGCCGCAAAACAGAAGAGTGGCTGCGATTATGTCTAATCTGCAACCGCTTGAATAGATTAAAAATGTTTTTCAAGTAGAGGCGGTCAAAGATAGGCGAGACAGAAGACAGTAGTTGAATCCTTAGTGAACTCTACAACTTCCATACCGTACTGAGCTATCTTAGTAAATTTCAAAGTTGTTCACCGCGACTGCACTTTCGAATGTTGCAAGGTCTAGCTGGACAATACTCCCAATTCTGGGAAAGCGTCGCAGGTCATATTGTCAACCTATATTTAGTACATAAAAGGTTTATCCCAACAATATCAGTTTTCTGAGGTTTATCCTACCATCTAAAGGTGCTCTGACATGCACCTCGAAATCGGTGTAACTAGAAAAAATCGTCGGAAACCAAGGTAAAGTAGGGAGCAAACGTCACGAACTTCGTAAAAGTGAGTACCTCGTTAAATGAAGTTTGAATGGATAAATAAGCAGTGAAATGCATTCAAAGGGCTATGACAGTGCTTTCAGTGTTTGACCACCGATGTCTTCAGAGCATTGCCCGAATCTGGTGGGAACACCGGATCAGCAATGCTGAAGTACGTCGAATGGTATTCGGGAGAAATAACTCACCCTCGATAGATGAACTGATCACACTGCACAGGTTGCGTTGGCTTGGCCACGTGCTGCGTATGCCAGTCGACCGACTTCCTCGAAGGGCTCTTTTCGCCCAACCATGTGAAGGGTGGAAGAGAGCCAGAGGCGGCCAAACAATGACTTTGCGGCGAAGTGTGAAAGCCATTACCAGCAAACTCGGCTGCGCTGGTCATTGCCGTCTTCCTGGATGGGGACCCCGAGACGGGCCACATCAATGGCTAAAGACAGTCAGTTATGGCCCAGTCGCGCCCTCAGTGGCGCTCGTGCATCAAAGCTATTGCCTTCAATTCATAGCTCCTTTTCCAACCCCCCACCCCCCATACACTTGACAGCCCACTGACAGTGCTGGATTTATGCACCAATTTACCAGCTCGCGCCTGCAATGCGCAGCTACCTACCCCACCCCCCACAGCTACAACCACTGTACGACGAGTAAGCGGTTCTTACAGCTGACAGTGATGATGATGACAGTGCTTTATGAGGTGTCAGCTCTTGCATTTTTGGAGACTTTACCCATAAAGGAGCGGCTTAGTGATGAAAGGCGTTACAGCACGGTGCAACGATTACAAATTAGAGAATTTTGTATACCACAGTATAACCTTGTTCAAACGTGTACTGTACAAACAGAAATGAGACTCTAGTGCTAGCGTATGACAATGCTTGTTTGGACGTAATCGCAAGTCACAGGGGTGGCTATTTGGCGCTCCGAAATTTCTGGGACCCAGAAAAACCCAACAGTATGCAATAACCGGCATAGAACGTTCGGACATGAGAACCTGGACATGTTAAGAATCCTCTTATTGGCAGAAGTGCAAATTATATGTTTCTTCTAGACTCTCCGATTGGTGAATACCCACTAGTCCAACTAACCAGGGATGTGGCGCCTGCCCATTTCATTTGAAAACTGTACTCCAGAAATGGTTGCAGCGTATTGTTCAAACACCGAATACCTCATCAAATAGCTTTACTATTATAATCTTCACGTAGAATAGCTCCGTAAGCTACGGAAACATGTAGAAATACTCAGCATGTAATTTCAAAGTTCTAAGGTTTTGAGGTGTCTAGGTGTTGTGCCACTGAGCGTCACATTTCGACTGGAATCCCCTAGTGCCAAAGTAAGCCCATACGGATGGAATATTGTATGCTTGTATTACGGAACTAAGTATTTTCAGGATGCCGCTTCTGATCTCGACAAAGTGGACTATTGAGCGGTCCTTATACTGCAATTTCACCCTCTTACCTACCATCAGCAATGCAGATGACAAGAGAAGTACTGTTATGTATTCTCTTAAACAGAACAGCTGCACCTATTAGACAGGAACAGTGTGCAGAAAAACAGGAGGAGAACGCGTATCAGAGACGTAAATGGGTTTGTCTGATCTAACCTAATATCATGGTTAAACGAATCTGTGGCCTACCCAGGATATTGTACATAATCGGCGAGTCACTTACCTGCTCACGGTCCAGGCCCCTGACCAACAGCATATCATAACGTTGACGTAACCGAGCCTGCTCCCTTGCCAGTTCCAGATACTGTCCCCGCATTCGGGAGTAACGTTCGCCCAGTTGGCTATTCACCGATATGAGACGTTGCATTTCCATATCTTTACGAGCCAACTGAACGGTAGCATCTTTTAGGCTCTGTAATAAGTTTGCGTTGTGTTGCTTGAGAAGGATTTGTGTCGAAACGGTCAGGTCAACAGGGTCCTCCTGTGAATCCGTTCTTGGATTTTGTTGTTGAAATTGCATGGCCGGAGGCCAGGGTCGTAGATGGCCCACGGGTGTAGCAACCCTATCACCTTTGCTGTGTGGACCGTCAAAACGTTGGATGGCGCTTTCAGAAGTTCCCGCAGGTTTTTGTAGGTTCAAAATTTTCTTGGATGCTTCCGGGTGATTTCTGCAAGAAATCCTCGTCGTCTGAAACATATTAAGCAACTTCTGACCAAATGCGAACCCAAGTGAATTTCGCTTCGCTTCTTGCAGTACTGTGGGTACGGGATGCTTAGAAGTGGAATCAGATGAACTATCCACCGTCACATCCTGTTCACTGATATTCAGCGTGCGTACTTCTGAGATTGTATTTATTTCCGTGTCGTCCGGGTTACTAATACAGGTATAAACAGAATAGTCCAATTCAATATCGACTGACGGTTCGTTGTGCGCGTTCGAATTCTGCTTCCTCATCTGACTTTTCCGTCTGTTCTGTTCCAGTATAGCTTGTTTGCAGTCTTCAGGAAGGCGTGGAGAATACTGAAGTTGGCAGTCACCGGTTGGCACATCATTCAATTGTTTATGGGTGGCCAACGTAGGTTTTCTTTGTCTCACTGTGTCACAACTTCTGTCTGGTCTTGTCCTTTTAAAACCTCGCCAATGTCGGTAAAATGAACTTCGTACTTTCTGTCGACGATACGGACGTCCACATTTTCTGGTCATGAACCTTTTGGACATCTTGACCTAATAATGGCAGACTTTGATTCAAATCATTGGTAATTTGGTACGGCAGGTTGATATGATTTTCTGCACACAAATGTCGGAAACGTAAGCATATGATAGTCTAAACAAACTGGAGGAGTCATTGGTATTGATCTGAGAATTCAAACACGTTGATCATGTGTCGCACCAATGAAATCAGATGAACAGGGTGTAAGAGTCATTAAAATGACATAATCTGCATCTCAACGGATATAACCTACATTATGACTTAAGGCCGGGCAATCGTACGACGGAGCCAAGCGCTTTGAATTTCATCGTAAATTTATGGCAATTATTGGCCGGATCTCAAGGAACTGGTATATTGGAGTTTTCACAGAACAGAAAAGAGTAGGCAGGACAAAAGTGTGGGTCACGTCGAGAAAGGCTTGGTAGGGTCACAAAAATTTCAAGTTGGGAGACGGTTTTGCGATTCCGGAGCATTTAAAACACCCGAACATGCCTTCGCACCACAGGTTTACTTCTCAAGTTGGAGTGTCCTTGAAGTGACTGATACTTTAACAAAGAGACGGGTATAACATACGGATTGCGGTTCTAACGAACATCTGTTCAAGTTTTCAAGTCGATGGGAACCGAGGTTAAATTTGTACCAATTTTAGTGCAGCTACTGAGAACAAGAGCGAGAGAACAAAACCCTGTCACCGCAATCATTTTTTTGAGTGGTTGATCAGGAAGCATCGCATCCATAAGGTTGCGTAGAACTCATAGAATACAAGGAATTACCAGTTCGATATTGGCTCGCACGCAACTTAAAAAGGACGGAATAAAGACACCTCTTTAGTTAATGTATCGTGGCAAACGAATGAGCCACGTAAATTTATCCAACCATGTTAGGATCATGCTTAAATCAGTTTAGCTGGCCAGAGAATATCAGTGGTATCGATAACTCAAGAGAACAAATCTGTATCCTTGTTGTTAAGCAACGACACAAACACGCCAAACACTAGTGAAGCTTGCTTCGAATAGCTGGAGAACTGAGGGTACTGAGATGTTAGTCAGCTAAATCCGTGTGTGCGTGTAACCAAAAAAGACAAATCACATCAGACTGTCTGCTTACTAAGATACGGGTAGCAGTTTATATGTGGGGCTTTTGGTATCTGGATTTATGCTAGGTTCTTCGGATTTTCAGTCAGACAACCATTGACTTTCATGCATATTCGGGCCACCCGGCAGTCTCCCAGCCCTCGTGCTTCCTTCGGGTGGCGTGGCAGTTAGGCACCGAGATGGCGTTACAGCTGAAATATTTTGTTTTAGCCTCACATTTGTGAATGAAAAACATGAATATAAATCATCTTCAAGGATGGTGAAGGAGTTTCTTATACCTATTAGTACGGCAAGGCTGATTTCCTCCATTCAGTTCTTGATTGGACCGACAGACATATACCTCTTTGCGGAAGGAAGGCAATGCATTTGATGAACTCTTGAGGTTGGTAACGTATGCCGAATCGGTATGGTGAGGCCTAGAACACTCTGTGATTGTACGCATATGCCAGAATGACTGGTAGGTTGTTCCGATCGCAATACATTCTCGGATGGAATCCGTCACGGTGTCCCCATCCTGGGTTCGATAACGACAATGCAACCCTGTGAGCTCTATTTGACTTTACTGATAGACAAAAATTCGTTGGGCGCTCTGCAACAGAGCAAGCCAGAACAAGGTACAAGAAAGATTGTTTGAACCATTTAGATTTGAATTGCCGTGCTCTAATCTTAGCGCGTATCTGACCAAAGTGGTCAAAGCTAACTCGCGATTAGATTTGAAGCGCCTGAATTCTATTCAGAAGACGATGGCTCGTGGCAAGATAGAAAGTTGATAACATTTACGACGGATAGATCGGACACTGAATGACGATATTTAGGGACATGACATGACATCATATTAGTTTCAGTATTCCACATTTTGTGGTGCTTTTCTTTTGAGTAGATCTCTCGACGGTAAAAATAGGACGAGACAGCTACCGTCAGAGCTTGCAAAGAAGGGCCGGATTTGATAAGTGAATTGAAAAGATATACAGTGCAGGATAGTAACTCTTCGAGTCCTCACAGGCTACAGGTATTCGTGAGTTTTTGTGCTTCAGGATACAGCCAAGTATTTATCCAACATGTGTCGGAACGCAATAGTTAATGCTGCTATGGATGGGGGAAATGATGCTTCTTCATTCTGAATCTCGAGATTACCGGTCATCCGAAGATCATGTAAAATGCACGGTAACAAGTAACGGTAGCTGCAGTATGCAAATGGTGGGACAAAAAAGTTCGACTCTCAATAGAAGTTCTGATGTCATCAAGCAGGCTAGATAAAGAGGAATTTTTATATGCTGATGTCCTTGTGTAAAGATGCAAACCAGCGTTGAGCAACGCGTTTTCCGGAAGGTCTGCGGAATCCCATTAAATGTTGCCTTGATAGAATATGTACAGGCATTCGTAGTTCCCTCTTTCGGCCTACAACTAGAGGAATTGTTATCAGGTGCTGATAAAAGCCAAATGCGCCGATTGATAATAAGTCCGCTGTAAGCTACGACTGAACACGAAACTACCGGTAAAACCATTTTCAATTGCAAAAATTTGATTTGTATAATTAACAGTATTTGGGGAAGAAAGTCTTCGAGTTTTAAGGAAGCCTTTGTCAACGTGTTTATACCGTATGAAGTCAGAGAATATCACGGCACCATGGGATAATGAGTATTCGTTGATAGATGGAGTGGTCCCAGTATGAAGATGATCTCGGTGAGCAGTGGCGCGATTTTTCGTGTCCTACTCAAACACGTACGTATCCGAAAAAGTAGAACGCTCTCCAACAACTGTAATATCGACCGAATATTTTATCGGATTGTGCTGTTCAATTTTCAGTCTGTGTAGAATCAGTGACAAAACAGCTTGTTGGATCACACCCGATCATTTGGAGAATCCTCGACGACTTTCTGCCAGTCCGAACGTACTGATCTCGGTCGGTGAAGTTGTTGTGTAAGAGGTGGTTTTTGGAAATTTAGAAAAATTTATGTAGCAAGAGTTTCCGATCGAGTGAATCCAGAACTCCTAAAGTCCGCGAAGCAGCCCCAGATCTGTGTTGTGTACGTAAACTGAGATAGTCTGAGACGTTTCAGTGGTTAACATGCTCCTTCCTAGGCTAATGCATCCTGGCAGTATCTCAATCCTTCTGACTCATGGGCATAACACCGAAATGGAGGTTATTGTTATTATTTATATTTTATTATTACACAGTAGTCACTTTAGCATTTTCAATAAAGTAGAAGTTCATGAAAATGGACGGAATTTTGTTGGATCATCAAGTTGATCGGTTTTGCACACTGGAGTTATTCTATCAATTTTTCATCCGTCGGTAATAAAAGAATCCTTTGAGACACGATAAGTGAAGACGAGGAAAGGAAAGTTGAGGCACTGTAGTTTACCAATTACGGGGACATCTTGTCGGTCAGCTGACTTTGTTCGTGTCAAGATGAACGCTTTCCTAAAATAGTGTCGTTCACCGAGTATTTGGGCTTTGGAATGGTGTACACATCTAAGCCGGCACGAGAAGGCTGTGCAGTTCGTCGCGGTCTATGGCAGCTACAGCATCCCTCATTTCTGCTCCAAAATACTTCATCGTCTACCATGGACTCCCATCATTAGAGCACAAGAAGTAGTTTGTGTAAATGGCACTTAACCTGGATACAGCCAGTTTCATTTCCGGCTCTGCAGGCTTTTTTCTTGAAGCGCCTGCACTGTTTTAGTGCAGCTGAGGTGAAAAGGCCTAAGCGCACATACCAGATTTCCAAAGGACACCGCAAATTCCCCAGGCAAAATTCCAAGTGTCCACAAAACACATTACATTGTACGGATAGGTTCTCATCTTCAAAACAATAAATTCCAGGGTTCCATCACGTGTCGTAGGTGGTCATGGAATTGTAGTGTACGCCTTCCGATGAGACATTTGTGGGTGTGGATTATTGGGCAGACTTGGGCAATACTCGAAAGATACAGTAGTCAGAAGCAAGGGCCACTGCGTCAGCAGGTTTAAAAGGCACGTTTGTTGGTTGTAGTAGCTGCTTCGGTGTGTCAGAGTTTGCGCGTGTGCGTGTCCGTCCCGATCTGGCGTGTGACTTGAGTGGCTGATTGGGTGCGTGTCCGATTGACTGGCTCGCGTGAGCGATGTGGGTTGAAAGGATATATGAACCAGTCCGTTTTGCTTACCTGCCACGAAAGCGGACCAGTTTGGCCGCGTGTACTC